TTCCAGTCACTGGCTCTGAAATGAGATCTTATGTGCAGATCTCTCTTTTCCAGCATTACCAGCTGAGCAGGGCTGTGTCTCAACAAGCTTCTGACAAAAAAAAAAAAAAAAAAAACAAGCTTCTGACAAGAATTTAAAAAGTCCCCCCCCCCCCCACACACACACACATAGAAATGTGAGAGACGGAAGCAGAAGGAGGTTCTTAAAGAGACAGAGGCCAATTTCAATGTGTTTAGAAGAGGACGTGATGAGAAGATAAGTTTATTTTCTATTTCTATCTACACAAAAACAGCATTTTAATAACAGCTAAAGGTGACATAGATACTTTACTATGGTATAGTATTTAAATATATGCCTGAGAAACACAWAATATTGCTCCTTTAAGAAAAGCTCAGCAGCCTGCATTAAAAACAGTCCAAATTTGTGGTATTTTTRTTAAGCCAAAATATAGCATGCATTATTTATTTCCTTTTGTTCTCTTAAACTGTGTTGAAGCAAAAAAAAATGGTGAATGTGTTCCTTGTGTTTTGTGCGATTGCATATGATGAGCATTCCCTTTTAAGTGGCTTTAGTGTGGAATTTAAAGAGCTTGACAAAAGAAGGTCTGAATATTTCAAAGGGGACCTTGATGTAAATTGTTAGATATCAGCTATATTGCATCAGTGGGAATAGAAAAGGAAGAATGGATGAGATGTTTGACCTTTTCAGATTTGTCCCTGGGTAGTGAATTTGCTGGAGGGTGCTGGGGCAGGGCGCAGCGGTGCGTTGAATTATCACTCCCACTGTTCAGATGCTACAGACCTGATCTCCCACTTGCTCCCCTCCCACCACTAATGGGTTAGGAACACACTCAGGAAGGGAAAAAAAAAAATGGAGATAGCAAGAGCGAGTAGGAGGAGGGACTCTGAGCGTGTMCGTTTGTCTGTGGGTTAAGCTTAGAAAGAAATTACCGTTTTTGCTCCGCGCTGAAGAGAAGTAGAGGCAGGTCACATTGTAGTGTTGAATCTTTCACAAAAGCTTGTGTCATTCTGCGGAGCGAGCGAGCTGATTTTCTGACAGCTACCGGCAGGAAACATGTCAAGTCTCTGATGGATGCTTTCTATATYGAAAAGCTATGATGACTTTTTAGTTGACTGGGCTTTCACTGAACTCACTTTTTTCTCAAATAAAAGCACAGCGCCAAGGAGGCGCCGAGATAAGAACAAACTTGGCAAAATGCTTTGTAATAGTTTGCAGAGTCGCAGAGGACGTCACGTCATTTTGTTCGAGGAGAGCAGCTGTCAAAAGCACAATGGTCTGAGCATTGCATTTTTTTTGGAAACGACTATGTGGTCCCTTTTTTCCCCTAAAAACTTCTAAACATGCACAGTGTCTAGAATTGTTTGTTTTACTAAGCTTCATACAGTCACATTGATAATGTTGGTCTCAACGGGACTTTCTCATTAAATTCATCTGCTGGGTGGGATTACAAACACTCAATCAAAATGCTTAAACTTTATTCACAAGCCTGTCTACATGCATACCATGTTTTGTCATTAAAGCCTAATGTTTCAGCACGGTTTCATCGCTTCATGCTGAATCTTCTCTGCTCTTCTCCACCCCTCTCCTCATGCCATGTAGAATCCATCTTGTGCGACGTAGGGGAGTTTCATTGTCACGACCAGCAAACCTGCATACCCGAGGCCTGGCTCTGTGACGGTGAGCCGGATTGTCCCGATGACTCAGACGAATCTGATCATGTTTGTAAGTCATCCATTCCATTCATTCTCCACTAATACAGTCATGCAATTGTACCATTAAGCATCTTTCTACAGCTAGCCTCTGCTTCAAGTTACACTAACTCAAACTAATGTGTTGTCTCTTCCAAAAGCTATAAGTTTCTACCATGTTTCCCCTCCATATTTTTTGTCACAGAGAACTACTGTGATTATTTGAAAAAAAGATCTGTAAGATCTCATTTTGTAATAACGGCTTATGTAATAATGTAATAAAATCAGGCTTCAAAATGTAATAAACTCGCACTAAAACCACATTATGTAATAATTGATGCAAAATGTAATAAAAGTTTTCAACACATTATGGAATACCGTTATTAAATTTTGCGGCAATTGTTACAAACTGTGGTGGTGTAATAATCTGGTGCATTATGTAATAAACAATCAAAAACCAGTATTTCTGTTCATCCYAATCAATTTTTCTTTCGGACAAATATATCTTTTTATTTTTTGAGAATTTCTCCCAAAATTGAAGTCTAACCAATTTTAACAACTGTGTCATCCATGGGAAGCTTAAAAAGGGGGTATTCTCCTTGGCATCCAAAAAATACATTTCCTCAAAGGCATTTTTTAATCCAAAAAAGGGATTGGACTGAGAAATATTACAAGTTCAGCAGACGTGCGTTTCACCAGTTGTTTGCTAGTTGTTGTTGCTGACAGCCTGCAGAAGTCTCAGGGGACGCATGCTCTGTGATGAGGAAGCTCAGCTTGGAAACACAGCCCAGAGGAGGAGCTGCAACTAAACGGTGGTTCTAGGTCCAACCAGCTGTTTTTGTTCTCCTGAATATCTACAGGACAGTACAGGATTTTACAAACATGCATGGATGAGTCAAAGCAACACTCTGGGTATGTTTTTGATATGAGAATGATGTCATTACATGATATAAAGCAAAAAAAAATTGATTTTACATGACATTGCCATTCATGTCAACTTCTACGTATTGTCCGTAAGTTATAAGGATTTTACGTCATTTTGCAGGTATACGGACGTATAGAGC